TAGATTCAAGGGTTTCAATATCTTGAAGGCCGGAATCCTACACTGAAAAACTTTATTGCTTTTATCGTTGCCAAAAATGTCAACGATACATTGGTTTGGTTTCTTTAAATAAATAAAAAAAAGTAAAAATATGCAATATGCATGGTATAATAATGTTATACTAAAATTAAAACAATGGAAAAACTCAAGATAACCTGTAGAAAGAAAAAAAACTGAGTTTGCCTTATCAAGTATTTTGGCCTAGAACACAAGCCATAAAAACACTTCAAGTTTTCAGGAATGAACAACACCAAGTTTGACTTTGTCAAAGATTTTTGGCCAGGAACACAAGCCTGTCTACACTTTCAGGTTTTAGGGATGCACGCAAACAAGTCACAATGTTTCCTCCAGTGCTGAATACTCTTTCCGAGGGAGAGCTTGAGGCAAGAATGCACAAATACTTTTGTGCTAACTTGAGAGTTAGTGCTGGGAATTGTTTTGCATGTTCCTTCCACCAGACCAAAGGATTCTCCTCACTATCAACAGCAGCAGAGAGAAAATAAGACCGTAGCTCAGCAGTTATGGCCATGTCTTGGAGACTGGAGAGAGATGATGATGCTGGTCTGTGGTCCTCATCCACTTTAAAGAAGCTGCCCAGTGGTTTTTTGGTCTTCTTTAGTGCTGGTGCATTTTGGTCTTCTGCTTCCTCTCTAACAGTCACACTCACAGATGGCTGAAGCTTTTAATAAAACAAAGGCAAAAATTTTGTTTAACTCATAAAAGATAATGTCATATACTATTACTAGTATAATAAGGACTATTTATTCATGTTAAATTAATACTGAAAATGGCCCAAACTAAATTATATTATATACTTGGCACACACAACCTATAATTATTACCTTCATGACTGAAGATATTGATGCCATTTCAGTTCTCAAACTAATCTTGACAGCTTCAACTCTGTCTTCGTTGACGTTGACGTACTTAAGCTTGAATCTGGGATCAATTGCAGAAGCCATGTCAAGCAACTCTTGAGTCTGTGGACCATCATACTTCTCATTCAGGTAGTCCAGGATCTTCTTCTTGATGCATTTTGACAGTTCTGTTTCTCCCTCCCCACATACTGCTCTCCTGAAAGAGCATCAGTGAATTCAGCAAGTGGAGAAAGGGAGTTGTTGACCGCCTCAAGGACTTCTACATCCTGCCATGTGGGGACAAGGTGTCTGGCTTTTCTGTCCGCGGAGAGAACACAAGAAATGGCACTCTGTTGTTCCAACACCCTGGCAATCATTGCTTGTTTTGAACCCCACCTCGTTGGACACTCAGTCTTGAGCTTGCGTTGAGGTAACTTGAGCTCTTTCTGGGCCTCGGACAACTCCCTCCTTCGTCTCCAGCTATAGGAGAAGCACCCCACCACCTTTTTGCAGACATTCAGTGCACGGTCAATCCATCCATCTTTCAAAGCATGTTCTAAACACACACACACTTTGTGTGTGTTTTGTTACATACCACTGATGTGCACTTCCCACGGCCATATTAGACTGTCTGCCCCACTGTCTCCTCCCCCCCACAGAGAGTCCACTCACCACCTTCTCCTCAGTGATGCTCCTCTCCTCTTCATCTGGCACCTGCTCATTGTAGAGCTTGATTGCTTGCAAAACTTTTCTCTTCCCACAATTTTCTTCGATGCAAGTGTTGAATTTTGTTGCGGTCTATAAAATTTACGAAACACAGAAAACAAGATGCACAAGCTGAATGCAGATATCAGAAGGTAATATGAAATAGTAATTTTTAGTATAACTAACTTAAGAATTAATAAATCAAAATGTAAAAAAACCCAGAATAACTTAAAAAGGCATAATAGGCTTAATATCTGTAAAATTAAGAGGAAGACATTTTAAAATGAAGGACCTGAAAATATTTAATTCCAAAACAATCCAGATAATACATCTGCAAGTAATACAAATTACAAAAATATTAGATTATAAAGGCTGGCTTATTTTTGATGAACACCAAGAAACATTTGTTCAATTGATTTCTGAAGGTTATGTTGGTCATCACATCTGGTACCTACAGAATCTTAAAGCAACAATAATACAAGTAAATGATTCTCATATTTGGTGGTTATTTTGTGATAGAAGTAATATTGACAGAGATATTTAGACATTTGTGACAGAAAAATGCATTAAAAAAATTCAGTGGAGTTTTGATGGCTGTTTGTGGTATAACACCCTAAATAAAATCTCTCAGGAACCTCAATTTAATTTAAACTTCTTAAACTTTTTGATACTTTAATATTTTGAATATATTTTATATATTGAAATCTGCAGATTGTCTTCTTAAAAAAAAAAGAGTCCAACCTTAGGTCTGTATTCCAAAGCGTTCATGAATTATAACAATTTAGGTTTGAATAGTGCACTTTCACATCTACTGTATATTGAAAAATGGGGGGAGGCACTTAAAGAGTTAATGGAGTTTACAAGCCCACAAGTTTATAGCAAACAAAACAGGATGACATGTCCTTACTTAATTCTTATGCATGGCAAAGATTCTCAGTTAAACAAAGGATTACCACACTGCAATAGTAAACTACTTAGATGACTGTCATAAAATACTGCACCCTCGGTAGCCCATTGTCTGACATCATGTACCCACTGAAGCACAATGTTCTCAGGACACCCTCCAGTCTCTGAGACTCAGCCTCAGCCTTTTTGAAAGTCTGGTGTAAAAAATAAAATAAAAGATGGACAAGATTTTTACCTTTGCAAAATTAAAAATTGAGAAACATCATGAAAAGCTTTATATTCATAACTTCAGACATAGCATCATACCTTGATGCATCTGCTGGATAATGCAAGATGAAGGCCTTCCCGCTTCCGTCGGTTCCTCCCAATAGCATGGACAGTTAGCATGTCATTCCTGGCTTTCAACAACAAAATTATGTGATGGAGGATAGTCCTATTAAAGCTCATGGTATTTCAGTTCATCCACACAATGACCATTGAGTTTTAATTTAAGAGAGATGTAATGCAGTTTTATTAATGTACTGTCATATAAGAATATTTACAGCTTTCTCTTATGCAATCTCTGACAAAGTTTTTGACAGAAAGAATACAAATAATAAAAAGAAGAAAGAATAAAAGAAAGGTTTTCTAAAATAATATAAATAACCAACAATTACCAGATTTTGTCATGTACTTGGTTGTGAGGGCACAACGAGACAGGTAGCTGTTTACCATTTCAACCTCCTCCCCTGCAGTTGTGCCAGCACCTTCCTGATTTTTGCCACTCCAGATTATCTAATAAATCAGTGTGGCACTTATATTTTAATAATATACAGTGTATTATATAAGTAATAAAAATACAATTTCAAATGGTATGATTAAGAATATGAAGTACCTCACACTTGGTTGAATGAGCCTTGGCATGCATGACAGAAAGGACTGGTCTCATCTGCAGTAAAGGTCTGAGATCCAACATGGAGACTGCAATACTTGCATGAAATATGCGTGCAACAGAACTGTCCAGTTGTGGCTGTTTGAAGCTCCTTCTGCAGGTACAGTGGATAGGCAAATATTTCCCTCTGTACATCTTAAGAGCCTTGAGTAGTAGTCCGTGTCTGCAGACAACCACCTCAAGACCCTCTTCATCCAGTTTGCTTGCTCTTCTGGCAGTTTCACGTGCAGCAGACCACTGACTGGCTCCACAGATCCCTCTGCCAGCAGTCTGCATGACAAAATAATTCTGGTTAAAACTAAAAGTTGCGTTTTTTTTCTAGTATCGCCAAAGTTTTGCGCAAATCTGTAATGGAAACGCGCCTAGTGTTTGTATAGTGACTTAAGGCTATAATAGGCATGACTATTTAGCATGTCTGACAATTCCATTGCTCTCTAAAAGTTTTTTTCCCCCCTCATAATCTGCACATAATCTGGAATTGTTAGCAAAATTTTGTGTAATTTACTACCACAAAAGTGAGAGAAAATTTACAGAACTGGAATATTCTTACTGCATGTTTAATGGCTCACCAAAGTGAAATGGAGTTTATTCTTCAATCCACTTAACAGAAGAAAAGGAAAACATTGGGGAACAATATTCCTGCTTCAAATTCTGTATGAACCTGACACTGATTGCTTCACTTCCATTTAAAACAGTTAGGTAATTCTACACATTGTGAATGGTTGAGAGACACTGCACAAGTTCCTATAA